AAAGGATGTCTAATATATTCTTTTGAGGGGAAAAAAATCTTCACTTTATAACCTAACTAAGAATCTAATTAACTAATTTTCAGTAGTTTGAAAGAGAAGTAATAGTACATGTGCTGTGTACCTTGTCTGTGACCGTGTATTTGTGGATGCCCCATCTCTGGGAGTGTTGAAGGCCAGGCTGGATGGGGCTTTGAGCACCCAGGTCTGGGGGGAGGTGTCCCTGCCATAGCAGGGGGGTTGCAGTGGTCAGTGAGGTCCCTTCCAACCCAACCCATTCTGTGATTGATTCTGGGATGTTTCCTTACATGCTCATTCTATAGTCACGTCTGCGTAAGTGTAGCCTAATAGAGTGCAGCGAACAGGCAGTGTTAGAAAATATTAAACAGTAAATGTTGATGCTTCTGATTATGGTGGCTTTCAAAGCTTTTCATTTAGCCCTATCTCATGGCTTTCATTGCACCTTTTAAAAAGGCTCAAACTATGTGGAATATTCTACTGTAACACTGCCTTTAAGGCCACACGAATTACAGTGCATGTATTTATGAAAATAAAAAATCATGAATTGCTGTTTTTCATTGGGCATCATGGCATACAGGGCTGGGTTTTAGAAATACCATCTTTTAATCTGTAGTAACGATAATTCTGCACACTGGATGTATGTAATTTAGCTCTCTGGAAATGTTCAGACTGCTATACTGAGTCACAGTCCAGACCTCAGTATTGGCTAATTTGAGCTAGGCTAACACTTGGCACCGTGCTCTGCGCAGAGAATCAAGAATGTCTCTGTGGTCAGCTATGGCTCTCGTGCAGTGACACATCTCTGGCAGCAGCAGCAGAGCTAGCGTGCCAAGTTAGGAATTCACCTGTGTCTGGATGGCAGAGTTGTGCATGCCCCAGTACTTGAGGCTTTGAAGCATTCTGAGGTTTGCTGGCGATGATGCATCTTGGCAAATGAACAGCAGTGCACTAGCACCAGCTCAGAGACCTGTTTATGCCAGAGTAAGTAAAAGTCTGGAAGTCCCTCTGTCCAAGTATGAAATCCTAGTGCTCAGACAGAGAGCTTGGGGCACCATTTCTTTTCATCATCTTCTTTGCTTCTTGCAGATGTATATAAATTGCAGCAACCTTCTGGAAAGATGTTTAAGAACTTTCTGATGCTAACACGATTTTTGTATTTCCATGGTGGGTTTTTCACTTTTGCTGTTTTTGGGAAAACTGCTGTCAGCTTCCTTCACGTTTCATAAGTGATGGTTGGGTTTATACTGCTAGCGAGGGAGATTTCCTTATCAGAGTACAGGCAGGACGTGGGTCTGTTACAGAGCCTACAGAAAGCTGCCATAGGCAAAAGCTTTGTAATACATCGGTCCCACTGCCAGAATAATCTGTGTAATGTTAAATCCTGAGATATTGCTTAGATCTATCTTGATCAAGCCTGTTAACTTATAAATCTGCTCTTACTTGCAGCAGGACTTGGACAGCAGTGGGCATGGGCATGCAGTGAGGCAGGTGGAAAGGAACAAAAGGAAAAGATAGGAAATTCCCCAACTTTTACAGTTAAGATTTTTAGTGAATGCATCACCATTTCTTCGTGTTGACTGCCTGCTGTTTTCAGTGCTCTTTCTCTGCACAGTTTTCCTCCCATCCCTTTCCCCTCAGCTGTAGCGATGAGACAGATACAGCCTCATATGCCTTCATCTTCTTGGTGCTTGTATTCAAGTGGTTGCATTTCTCCATTCCTCCCTAGCTGTGTGTGTGTGTGTGCACATTTCTTTCTCATCTCTCCTTCCCCCATTCTGTGCTCTGTGTGTATGTATGTATGTATATATATATATACAGTGATGTGCTGTCTCTGCTGATCTATGTAGAAAAACCACATATACAGTGTATTTTATAACGTCAGTATTGGTCTCTCTATATGTAGGTATGCATATTTATTTACATATAAAAATACGTATGCAGGATGCCTAGTACCCTGCACTGTACACAGATCTTGGTATGGTCTTTTTTTTGAGTGGAAATAGCTCATTCTTCACTTCTACCTGGCCCATCAGACTCTGTAAGGAAAGCTTTTTAACTACAACAAAAAATGGCTTCATGAAATTCTATTAGGATCAACTGTGCTTTGAACCGTTAAAAACTGTCATTTCTGTTGAATGTTTTCCTCAGGAGATACTTGGAATATGTTAAAATAATATCTAGACAAAAAAAAGTAGCAAGAATAGCATCTGCTGTACTTGGAGGACTGAGAACATGGATCTGAGTCCAAGCTGCAGGTCACTGCCTACCCGTACTGACGTGCAGGCTGCAATGTGAAAAGTTCATGGTGCAGACTACTGCTGAAGGAGGGGAGGAAGCAAATGTTATCATTAATAGTTAACTGTTTTCCTTTATCAGAACCAGTCTTAGAAATATATAACAAAACCCCCCCTAGAAAACACTTTACATTTAATATAATCTTACTTCTTAGTTAGGAAACACCAGTGCATTTCCGATGTTTGCAACTCAGTTCTCGTCACCTCTGCAAATGCTTTATGATGCAGCCTTTGGATTTTAATACCCCTAGCAACAAACTATTTTTTTTCCTTACAATGTGGTTATCTCTCTTACTGCATGTTAGACAGAAGACTAAAAATTGCTTTGTCTGTGCTACTAATCTATGGCCAGTACACAGAGCACACTGAGCGTGGTGATTTCATCCATGTTGCTGGCTATTAAAAAACACTTGCTGCTGAGATTCAGAGCTCTCACAGGACCTGGTAATGGGTTTTATATATGTGAAAACTGCAGGAGGGAAGCAAGGAACTATTTGTTCTCCATGCCCATGTTGGATAAGGCAAGAAATGCTGGCCTTAAAATTGCAGCAAGAAAGATTCAGATGAGACTTCTGGCAAAACTTTCCAAAGGCAAGAGCAGTGAAGGACTGGGGTAGTTCATGTGAGCAGACTGCACATTCTTGGAAGTTTTTAACAGCTTAGATAAACATCTGTCAGGAATGACCCAGAATTGATTCATATCTTGAGTGGTGCCCCTTCCAGTGCTACAGATTGAAGTTTTTTGCTTAGAGGAGCTCATCTGGAGATAACTGATGTTGAAGTGAGCTGGCATGTAGCCAGCCCTGCTTGTGCCTAGTACATCTGGACTGCTTGGAGGAAAGCTTGGGCTTGTAGCAAGCCACAATCCATGAGCTTAATCTTCATCCGCAGTACATCTCCAGAGCTTTACCTATAAGCCTGTGCCTGCAAACATGCTTGCATTCAAGTGGTGTGATGGCAGGGGAGTCTGGCTTGGACCTCTGCTTGACTATTAGCCTTTTTATATTTGTTAGGATTACTCTGGCTGCTGTAAACCTGCATTTTCCAAATTTTGAGAGTTTGGTTGCAAGCGTTCTTTTCAACGTAGTATTTTTTTTCAATATGTTTTGCCACATAGATATCAAGGCTTGATACTCTCTTGTATTTGCACAGTATTTTCCTTCCTAGGCAGTTCCATTAATTTCAGCTTTTGCTGTTGACTACAGTGGATGTAACCAAAGCACAAGGTTTTGCCTAGAAGCAATAAAGAATGTAAAGTGACCATAATCCCGGTCACAGAGTGTGCTTTTAAAATCATGAGCACACATTGTTATAACCCTTACTTTCTTATTTTTGAATTCATTCGTTGTAGTTTTTCCTCTTTTGTTATCAACAAGGAAGATGCTTTCTATAAAAATGCATCTCTCTTAGTATTGGAATGGAAAGGGAAAAAAGAGTCAGTAAGTACATGTGAAGAACAATTTTATGTCTACAAGTTTTACCTCAGTGCTGCTTTTCGACTAAGCTTTACTCTGAGTTTCTAGCTGCAGGTATAAACCGACCAGCAATTAGCAGAGCCCGCAGTGTAGGTGTATGAAGGAAATGGAAGTCCAGTCCAAGCTAACAGACTTCCCATGTGATCCTGCTTTCTTTGGGGATGCTCTGAAGTCACCACAGTGTATGTGTATAAGTTGAAATGAAGGTTTGCTGGAAAACTGACAATGGAATTAGAAAAATACTCGTACCTGTATTTGTTTGCTAGCATGCTTTACTAATCAGGCATTTAACTGAAAACCAACAGCATCCAAAGGAAAAGTTGGGCAGAAAGAGTTGAAAGATATGATGATCTTTTAACAGAAAATCATATGAAGTGCAGGAGAAAAGAAATGAAAATACAATTCTGCCAACTGCTTTTTGCTGCTGTTCTCTAAGCACAGCTCTGGGAGTGATGTGGTTACGTGAGAAGCTGTGGCTTCTTGGAAAATCTTTGTCTGAAGACTGAAAATCCAGAAAGCAAACAGAAAGGATGGCAAACATTAGTTAAGAGTGTTTTTAGGCTTCTCATTAGTTTTTTAGGGAACTTGCCCTATTCTATTCTGATTCCTTGAAAACAGCATTTTGGAGCTGTTATAACAAGGAATGTACTTACAATATGTTTTGGAACAGAAAAATGATGATTTTAAGCCTATATATGCGTTACTGGCAAAGGATATCACATATTCCTATAATCTACACGGTGGGGGGAAGGTCCGTGTCTGCTTTGGCAAGGACTATATATATCTTAAATCCTCTGGGACATGAAGGAAGACATACTTAAAATATCATGGGGAAGTGAGGTCAAAGGTATTATTTCTTGAAGGAGGCTGGGGCCCCTCTTAGCAGGCAGATTATGTGTGTTGATTAGGTTTTAGGCCCTTCAGCCCAGGTTTCAGGATGCCTTTCTTCCTTTCTCCCTGTCAGGCACACAGCTGCTCAGTTAGCCAGCATGGTAAGTGCATGCCTCCTTCCCTGTTAGAGCCTGTGAGTTGTGGCTATACATTGTGGGCAGGACAAGTCCCAGCTCAAGACCTTTAGGCAACAGCAGCAGCTTTTTTGTGCGTTGAACTTGGAGGGCTGACCTGACTGAAATCATGAGCGGGGAAATGCTTGTTCACTTGCTGTCGGTTACGGGATTTCCAGCCCTCTTCTCTGATCAATTCTCTCTCGCAGGCAGGAATGGCAACTCCTGAAAACCCCGAGCAGCTGATCATTGCCCTGGAACCCGAGGCTGCCTCTATCTACTGCCGAAAGCTTCGCCTTCACCAGATGATAGACCTGAGTAGTAGGGCGCCTGTCAATGGTTATAGCCCGAGTGACACAATTGGAACTGGATTTACACAGGGTACTACTTCTATTAACTCACTTCTTAGTTTCTTACATCTAAGTTTGCTTTGTCCATGAGGGCTGTTTTCTAACCATGTCTTGTTGTCTCTGCTGTCTTGAAATGTTTCAGGCTAGCATCACTTTGCTTTATATACGCTAATTTGCTGTTTAGGGTAATTAGGCAAGTTCGGGCATTGATCCATCAGACGTGTTTGCACATGCTTGGATTTTAGCATGCAGGTAGCTTCACTGTCCTTGCCTATACTGGGATGTTGAGGGAGGTTAGGAGAGGTATAGCATTTTCACATCAGTATTTTTCTGCCTTAATTAAAAGTAATACTTCACATTGGATTATTTTTATTTAACTTTGTTGGAAATAATTATGTGTTCAATTAGCTGCATTATTGAAGCAGTGTTAAATTACTGGATCTCACTGAGACTTTTAGTCTGAGGTGTTCTTCCAGACTTTTGGCAGATGCTTTATGATATTATCTTTATGAAATACCATTAAGTACTTCCAACACTCAGCAGAACACACAGTACTGGAATACAGCAAGGAATTTATCTACTTGTGTAGAAGTGAAAATAGATACGGCAATTTTGATGTATTGACCTGTGATCTGTTACTCATATCAGTGTTTGAAGATTGATTTACAAAGATTTTGGGGCATAGTATCCTGTCTAAGATTGGAAGGGGGAAAAAAAAAGACAATAATGAAACAATGTGGTGTCATTTTAGCATAGCATATTTTCTGTCTGCATGAATTGTAACAGTTGCACTGATACAAATGCCAGTGTGTCAATCTATCCCAGAAGGAATTTTTCAGAATAATTTGCATTTTATCATATTTACTAGGTCAAAACAATACAGGCACATGGAAAACTGTGCCAGTAAACCTATTCCTGTACTTACCAGATAGCCTTTTTTCTTAGGCCAAGTCATTACCTCGTTTTCTCATGCCTTGCCTCTCCCAGCTAGCGCTTGTCAGATGTGTTCAGTGTTATGGGGGCCTGTGCCGGGCACAGGGCACAATCCCTTCAGGGGCCCCACACGTTCTCCCCCTTGTTCTCCTTCTGAACTACTCCAGTTCCATGAACTTGCTTGCTACATGGGGATTTGTCTCCAAGAAAATAAATAATCAAAAAAAAAAAAGCTTGTTTGGTTAAGGTTTTGAAGCTGGACAGAATCTGGCAGATCGTGGGTTTCTGCTAATGGGTACCATTCTCTTTCTTGACTTTGTAAGGTAAAAGCTATTGGGGATCAGAAAGGTTTCGTGTCAAAATTAATGAAAACAAAGTTTGGAGTGAATTAATTTGGGGTTAGAATTAAAATTTCATAAAGGCATGGCAGGTACCCAAGACAAGCTGAGAACAGCTTAAGGAGAAAAGCCCTTTAAATATAAACAGAGAGAAGTTCTCCAAGGACTGTATTATTGCTGCGAAGCCAAAACAAAAATTTTACTGTTCACAGTAGCCAGGGTAACTTTACTTCAGTTGTAGCTAAAGACTGGCTCTTGTGTTCGCTTTTAGCCCACAGAAGGGAATGAAAGGACTCCCATTGACTTCTGTGGGCTCTGTGTTCATTGCTTGGACATATTGCTTGTTCTGTCTTTGAATCCTTTGTCATTTAAGCTGCTGGTGTGAGCTGGTAAGTCAGTACCATGAGGCTAACAGCTTGCCTGCATCATAGGGTCTTCATGAAGTGGGCATGGGTGGAAGCCTCTGGTCTCTTCCTGATGATAGGCACTATAGAAATGAGAAGCAAAATGCAGTCAGTGATTTGCCTGTGTTATTTTCAGAAAGAATGATGTCTTCGTATATTACAGGATATCTCAGTTCCTCTGTAGTATTTTATAGAAGTGCCTTTGAATGGAAGTGACACAGGAAATTATTTTTTTGATCGTCCAGTTGCACAGGTTGTTTAAGAAGTATAATAGCAAAGGCTCTCACTATTCCACTTTCTCATTGTTTGCATCTTTAAATGCCTAAGTAGAAATTAAGTCTTGTAAGTTTTTTATTGTTATAATATTACAGACTATGTGTTATTTTTAATTGCTATATATTTTAAAAATGCTGTGCAAGTGTCCTGTATATGATTATAATAGGCCAAATCTTAGTTATTAGGACAAAATTTAATTGTTTTGCTTATAGAAGAATGGCAGTGCTTTGCAGGCTGTCACATAAACCCAGGATTTCTTTAAGTAAAGGTTGAAACAGTTACTGGTCTCCTGATCTGTCATCTGCCTGAGTTACTGGAGGGTCAGGCTTGATGATCACTGTGAGCCTTGAGAAGCTCTGAACCTGTGAAGCAGTGTTTTCAGATGCTTGCTTTGACACAGGCAGATGTCCTGAAAGGCTCCCGAGACATTTTTGCCGGAGCACCCCAAATCTGTCGCCGTGTAAATGCTGGCTTTTTGCTGTGAGGAACAGCTAGTGGCGGAGCGGGGCTGCCGCCTGCTGGTTGAGCGTGCTCCCAAGCCTGGCATGTCCTATGCCAAGTAAAATAAAGGATTATGAAAAAGGACTTGTCTGTGGCTTTCATACTAGGTCATTTTTTCTAATCCAATGTGTATCAAGGAAGAAAAGAAAATCCAAAAAATGTTTTTTTTTTTTTTTCCTTCTTTCTAGGAGCAATGCTTTAATGTTCCTAATTCTAATGCAGTATTTCTTTTTCCATTTGTTTTAAGAAGCGATACATAGAGATCTATCAACATTCTTGTACTTGTTTTCTACAGTATATTATATCAACTTCTTCATGCTTTCTTATACTCAGTAATTTTCTCTCTGTCAATGACTAGCTAAGGAACACGTCCGTCGTAATCGACAGAGTCGCACCTTTTTGGTGGAAAATGTCATAGGAGAGATCTGGTCCGAACTGGAGGAAGGTAGTGTCCTTTCTTGAATAAACTCTGCTCTCACGGGTTTTATATTGCTGGCAAACATTGTGTTTCCCACAAATCTGCTGTGTACTGCATTGTTCTACTGAATGATTATAAATAGGAAAAGAAGCAAATAGAAGTGCATGCGTGGCTCTGAGTTGCTAAGGCTGAGCTGCAGTTCTGTATCCTCTAACAAAAAAGAGTTTTTTTCAGGAGATGGCAGAAAGTAACCAAGGTTTTAAAATACAACAAGAATATTTCCTCAGAATAGATTTTGTAAATACACTGTAGTATAAATTTGGTAACCCCCTAGAATGTACATCAGCAGCACGAGCAATTCCGCTAATATCCAGTTTTCATCTGTGCTAAGCCAATGGCTTTTGACACTCAAATTCTGTATTTATTATCAATTGCTGCTAATAAATATCAAGTTTTCAGTGTAGACAGTCATAACTTTCCACAAGTCATTATCTCTTATTTTTATCATGCCCCTGAGAAGTTTTCATTGCAGTATTTTGTTGTGATAATATTAATGTAAATGTCATTTGCCTATTCCTTTGTCAAACCAGGAGACCGGTACATCGTTGTTGACAGTGGAGGAGGAACAGTGGATATGACTGTCCATCAGATCAGGCTTCCTGAAGGACATCTTAAGGAGCTATACAAGGCAACAGGTAGGTGACACTTCCACTGCTCACTTCATTTATATAGTTTTTTGACCCGTCAGTGAAGGAAGTTCATGTCTTTATTATTCACTACATTTCATTAATTTTTTCCTGGAATCAGCCAGCATTCAAAATTAGTGTAACCTAACTGTTGGTCAGCAGAAGGGGGTAAAACACTTCATGCTTCTGACACTTTGGGATGGTAAACCTCACTTTGTGAGGATAAGAAAGTGCCATCTTGCATCATTGCAACTTTATTGCAATAAAGTGCAATTCCTTTAATGATATTCCCTTCCTGAACTCCAAATCCCCTCTGTCTTTGTCTTTGCTAAGCTGTTAACCACATGAGACAGCCTGCTAATTGTTGCTGTGTCTCTACACCAAGTTAGTCTTCATCTGTATCATTCATCGCTGAGTGTTCTTGGTCTTGGTAGCTGTAAGACTATGTCAGGAAACAACTTAGTAAGAGCAAGTGGGGACACTGTACATCTAGTACGTCAGGTCTATCTACTCCTCAACATAAGTCCAACTCACATGTTGTGTATGGATAAGGAGGCAGTTTCCTCTGCTTGTAATAAAAGTGTTTCTGTTTTATGGTGGTAGCATTACACAGTGTAGGTGTAAAAATGAGACAAAGGTAAGATTATGTTCTGTATTAGACAAACTGTTATATTTAGAAAAGATACCTCTTTCTTTGGACCTTCTTCCATGACAGTCCTGCCAGTGTTAATCTGGTGTGTATTTGGTCTACTTGAAATCTATTAAGAAGTTCAGGATATTAAAGCTGTGTTTTGTTTGTAATGCAGGTGGGCCATATGGTTCCCTAGGTGTGGACTATGAATTTGAAAAGCTCCTGTGTAAAATATTTGGAGAAGATTTTATTGAGCAATTTAAAATCAAGCGTCCTGCTGCCTGGGTAGATCTGATGATAGCATTCGAGTCCCGTAAACGGGCAGCAGCTCCAGACAGGACCAATCCACTAAACATCACCCTGCCTTTCTCCTTCATTGACTATTATAAGAAGTTTCGAGGCCACAGTGTAGAACATGCCTTGAGGAAAAGCAAGTGAGTAGATGATTATACTCAAATGGATGCAGAATTAACGACTGTTTGCAGAAACAAGTAATGAAAATATCCTAGTTGCATTTAGACTGAAAGACAATAATGTAAAAATGCAATATAATGATGAGAAAATGGGATTGCCTGAAGTGCAGTTTCCAGAATGCAAAGTTCCATCTGTTGCGGAAGGTTTTCGATACAATACTTGCACTCTCCTGGTATCGTTTTCCATGACATTTATTAGGCCACCACTGTGTCATTTCACTGAATTCGACTATATATTTTGACTCATATATGCTTACATGTTAATTAGGGAGGTCAGAAAAAATAGAGAATTTGATGTCTAAAAGTTAGTTACCTGGAATCTAAATTTTTATAGGCTTGGGCCCTGGAAGGAATTCAGAATCTTAAGTGAGATGCGTAAATATTTCTATAGCTTGGGGAAAGTTATGAAAGTTTTTCTTCAGTGAATGCTGAATGTGGCATTCAGGCTGAAACTCACGCAACTCTTCCTATACTTACTGGTAAATGTACTTCAAGCCTAAAAGACTTAGATCAGAGTCACTTCCTAAATGAAACTGAGGTTTTGAAGTTGGTAACAATTTCTGGAAATACTACTACCCTTCAGAAGACTGTCTGCTTCTTATTAATAGTCTTAGTGATGAATCTTAGAGAGAATGCCAAGTGTTTCCCCCCAAATAAACTGAAACTAGTAGAATAACAGGTGACATAGAACATGTGCAAATGAAAAGGAAATTACCAAGCTATATGGATGTGCATCATTGATGGAATAACATAATACCTGTATTCACTTAACAAACACTATTCCTTATCAGATACTGTGCTCCTTTCTGTCTCCTGAGACTTCCTATGCTTGCTTGTTTTCCTTGCTTGTTTCCAATGGCTTTGGCCTGCTACTGCTGTAATCTAAATGTTGTCCGTCTGGGGATGAATTGGTGCTGTTTCAGATGAGCAAACACAGGGTTGACTGCCAGCTGTTTCAGAAGGCAGCTGAGCATTTGTAATGGTACAGGAGGCAATCAGGCAAAGAAAGCAACAATTAAACAAGCAAAAATAACAATTATCTGTGGAAATTTTATATTGCTCCATTTGGTATGGGCCTGAGGTTAGGTGAGACACTTTCTTCAAGCAAACTACACTGCCGATTCTGTAAACTCATTTGTTTATTTATGTGGTGAGTCTTATGATAACTTGGCTGTTTCTATACTCTTTTAATGTCCTTTCTAAATGTTTTTCTGCAGTGTGGATTTTGTGAAGTGGTCTTCCCAGGGAATGCTGAGGATGAGCCCAGATGCAATGAATGCGCTCTTCAAACCCACAATTGACCAGATTGTTCAACACCTTAGTACGTATCTGTGTGTAATTCCATTTTCTGGCTGAGCTGACTGAAGTTTGGCTTACCTGTTTTAAACCGGTAACTGGAGTTACTAGAAAGTGTTTAGGAAAGTAATTTCAAGTAAGGAACATCACTATAACACATCTTACTGCCTAGTTCTAGTTCTGGTGCTGGTTTTTGAGTGTGATTCAGTCCCATTGCTGCCTAAGCTTCAATTATTCTATATATAAAGGGCTACATGCTTTCAGAAGGCTGAAGTGCACTGAGAACCCAGATCCTACTTTTCTTTTTCCTTTTTCGGGCAAGAATAAAACAATGCCAGAGACATAACTATTACATGATTGTTACTGTTATTAAGGCCTCTAGTTCATTTCTCATCAGTGGAAGAACTTAAAGTCACATTTTTCATGACTGTTCAAATCACTGAGATCTGTAAACACACAAGTAATAAATGATGCAGCATGGTAAAAGAGTTTCCAGGCATGGCTTAAGCAGCAATGGATTTATTTATCCAGCAGTGGAATATGACATCGGGTTATTGGGAAAATTATTATTTAAACTGTCCCTCATGGAAGATTGGATTTGTATCAAAGAGAGTATAATACATGTATTGAGTGAAATATTGCTGTTGTACACATTACAAAGAACTAATCAAATCAAATTTGGAACAGAATATCCGGCTTTACTCAGTCTGTGTGAGGTATTGCTGGGTAAATTTGAGAGGCCACAACTGAGTAAGACAACTAGGACAGAACAGCTAATATGTGAGCAGAGAGGGAGAGGCCTCAAATTATGATTGTTGTGACAGATACCTCAGTCATACAGCATTAGTTATATGAACTGAGTAAGGGTGAGCCTACAGCTGAACTGTATGATTTTCTTGAAAGTAGGGGATGTGGGCTTAAGCTAAGAGAATATCTGTAAAAATGTAAGGAAGCATTTTGCAGATGGTACGTGTTGCAGTTAAGACGGTAGAGTCAGAAATAAAAAGTGAATTTAAAACGGGGTGACTTGTCTGGAATGCTATAAAGGGGATGTGGTTCCGTTAGATTTGGGAATATCTCACTGATACTTGCAGTGACAAGATGATTGATGTCTGTTTCCCTGCCACCAGTAATCTGACCAGCAGAATTTGTTTGCAAAAAAATCGGTGTCCCCCTTGACTGCTACAAGCTAAATAAAAGTTCTGTTTAGAAAGCATAAATGCTACATCAAATATATTTTGTGCTTTGAGGTAAGTTTTCACTCACAGTTATTGTCCCAGTGAAAAAGAATATAGAAGAGACTTCAGAAGTGGAACTAGTGCATGCTGAGGGTGGAAGTATGATGTAGCAGTTTCAGATCTTGTGCATGTGCATGGGACGTTCAGTGCACTCAGACATAAGGAGCTTCGCATGCTTTGCTTTGGCACAGTGATTTTTTCCTTATTGAATGGGCTCTGTTTCTGTATAGGTGATGTGTTTGATAAGCCAGAAGTGACCAATGTCAAGTTTCTGTTCCTGGTGGGTGGCTTCGCTGAATCCCCCTTACTCCAACAAGCTGTCCAGAGCGCTTTTGGTTCGAGATGTCGAGTCATCATTCCTCAGGATGTGGGGCTCACTATCCTCAAAGGAGCCGTCCTCTTCGGTCTAGACCCTGCTGTCATCAAAGTGCGACGTTCGCCTCTCACCTATGGTGTGGGTGTGCTGAATCGGTTTGTGGAAGGGAAGCATCCACCAGAGAAGCTGCTAGTCAAAGATGGCACACGCTGGTGCACTGATGTCTTTGACAAATTTATCTCAGCTGACCAATCCGTAGCCCTTGGAGAAACTGTGACACGCAGTTACACACCTGCCAAGCCTTCTCAGTTAGTAATAGTGATCAATATCTATAGCTCAGAACAAGATAACGTCAGCTTCATCACTGAATCTGGAGTGAAAAAGTGTGGCACCCTTCGCCTGGATCTCACAGGGACTGATGCTTCCGTGCCAAACAGGCGGGAGATCAAAACACTTATGCAGTTTGGGGACACTGAGATCAAAGCCATGGCCATTGATGTTGCCACCTCGAAAAGTGTCAAAGTCGGTATCGATTTCTTAAACTACTAACAGATCACGTTCCCCACCATGGCCTGTTTGTGAGACTGATGGTCCACTATTCCATTTTTTGACTTTCATGTGTCACGTAATCATCTTGAATTTCAGCAGGCTATATGAGAACAGCTAGTAAGGTGGGGTATGTCATGGTTGTGCCCTTGGATAACCGAAGGCTGGTTTTTAAAAGACCCTTAAAAAGTTTGGGGAGCAAAAGTTCCAGAGGTAGTAAAAGTTCCTTAGTTGTTCAAGCATGCTTAAAGATCTACCTTTATTCAGTAAATACTGATTATTATTGCATCCTGAAGATTAGTTAAAAAATATAAAATCATAATCTCTTTGCCTTGTTCTTGTACTTCTTCCCTTTCCTCCAAAGAAAAATTTGCTAACCCATGTGGTTGTTGTAGTGGGTATGTGTGGGGTATCTATTTAAACAGCATCATCCTCTGAACATGGAACAAATTAGTAGGTTACAGCTTTCTTTTGTTCTTTTGATTATGAACTGTACTGTCAAAAAATTAGTGCTGAAAATAAGGTTTGTAAAGAAGTGGGAAATTAACTTCTTCAGTTCTGAGATCCCACTGAAAAGAATATCCTTGGAAAGCCTTAAATTATATTTAGGAAACATACATATTTTAGGAGCCTACTGTTGGTTGCCCCAGTTTGAGAAAAAGAAAGACCTTTCCTGTCAAAGATCACAGAACTATCTGTTGGATTAAATAGCTAGCATTACCCTCATTATACTTCAGAAAATTATTAAGAGCAAAGTTATTCCCCTTTTTTATGTCTTACAAACTTTTATTTACTAGCCTCCACGTGAAATCACTGAATCAGAGAATAGATGAAGTTGGAAGGGACTCCCATGTGCTATCTGGTCCAGCCCCTCTGCTCTAAGCAGGGTCAGCTAGAACAGGATGCTCTGTCCAGTCAGGGTTTGAATATCTCCAAAGATAGAAATGCCTAAAATTCTCTGGGCAACCTGTTCAGTACTTGACAACCCTCACTGTAAAAAAAAAGATTTTTTTTCTTATGTTTAAGGGGAATTTCTTGTGTTTCAGCTTGTGCCTGTTGCTTCTTGTTCCGTCACTGAAATACCACTGAGAAGTCTGTCTCCATCTTCTTTACTGTCTTCTGTCAGATATTTATATGCATTCCTGATCCCCCTGCCAAGCCTGCTCTTCTGGAGTCTGCAGTCTCAGCTCTCAGCTTCTCCTCATACATCAGACTCCAATCCCTTAATCGTCATCATGACGCTCTGCCAGACTCAGTACCATTATGTCCATGTCCCTCTTGTACTGAGAGGCATGGGACTGGATGCCAGAAGTGGTCTTGAATAAAGGGGAATAACCACCTTCGTTGACCTGCTGGCCATACTTTTCCTCATGCTGCCCAGCTGTTAGCATTTTTTGCCACAAGGGTACGTTGCTGGCTCATGTAGACTTGGTGTCTACCAAGACCCTGAGGTCTTTTTCTGCCTTCATGCTTCCCAGCCAGTTGGCCCCCAGCATATGCTGGTGTATGGAGTTATTCCTCCCCAAGTTCAGGACTTTGCACTCCTCCCCGTGATTACATTTCTCTTCTAGTTAATCCCTGTGTTAATGTTTGGGAGTACGGTTAGATGATAGCTGTCCAGGAAGTTTTAAATGATTTAAAAGAGAGAAAATGTCCAGATAAGGCGTACTATCATATATTTTGAGTTGGAAGCATTTTAATTGAGTGAATTAATGTATTTCTGGGTTGAGTTTAATGTTCATTAAAGTGGAAGACAGAGGCTAAGAGAACAAAACTACAAAAAGCATTAAATAAAGCATTTCATATATGGCTATGACCACGAAACTCTAACACAAGTGAAATACAATGATGGTCATGGTAGCATCTTGTTTTCCAGTTAACGACATTCTGGAAATATTTTAAGCATGTTTACCTGGAAAATTTCTTCTGTACTGGAACAGGTTTTATTTTGCAAAGTGCTACAGGTGGATGATTTCTGAAACCTAAGATCTGCATCTGCCATGAGCTGACAACTTCAGTTTCAAATCTAAATCCACTCCAAACTGGCAGACTGAAACTAACCTGAATTACCCTAAAATGCTGACACTTTAAAAGCATTTATTCAGAGCTGCCTGATTACCTGCTGGAATTCATTACATTTTTGAAATTTTCCAATCTTAACTGTTAAACTAAAACTTCCTTTTTAATAAGTTGAGCATGAGTTACATAAACTACTGGGTAATGAAAGCTTTATCAATGATTTCACTAATTTACATTCCAATCCTGCACTTAAGCTTTCTGTGTTTATCCTGAAGTTTTGCCACAGTCCAGAGCTGCAGAACTGGTCCACTGCATTTTGTCGTTGAGTTTTCTGTGTCTGCTGCAGAATTCCCTAGTAGAATGTGAAATCTGTTCTGCATTCAGCTTTAAAAAAAAATAAATAAATAAAAAAGGAAAGAAAAAAAGATGGGACTATGGAGAATGCTACTCACAGTATCCGGCTGGATACTTTTCTATAATTACAAAGTGTGCTTTCTAGCATTCAGTCTCCTGCTGCCTGCTAAATGCTTTAAAAGCTAAATACTGGGATTTTTTGTGTGTTGCTTTCCATGGTTTACAAACAAGAGAAACTTTAAGATGAGTTATGAACAATATAATTTTATGTATATACAATATTTAAATATTGTACAGACTCTTTCTTTCTACAGTGCTATTTTCTTGTATAAAAATGCTCTTTGCCTCTGTTGATTTCATTCAGCTGTTAATTTTAAATAACATAGTTTCTCAATCAGCTTCCATAATTATAGGCTTTTAAAGATGGTAAGATATGAAATGTAAAAGGCTGATCTCATAATAATAGGAAAGAAATGTTGGTGTGTCACAGAATACAACATTCTTCCTGCAATGCAAGTCATACCAGTTAAGTATATTACACAGATGCACTTGTATTTTGCTGGGATTTTCATTTCTTTGTTTCAGATGGTGACCATTCCAGCAGTTCATCATAATAATGGATGAATCCTCCTGTAAAACCATGTTAAATTTAGCTTGTATGATCTGGATATACAGCTTCTTCTCTAGGTTTTGGAGTTTTATTAAGGATCTACTCTAATTTCTAAAAAAAAGTACTTTCTAGAGCCAAGTAAAAGTGATTTATAGTAGATGCGGGTAAGCCTATCTATTGTCTACCACTACAACCTACCAAACACAAAACTCTTAAGTAAAAGAAGACTTCAGTGTCTTTGCATCCTGTGTTAAACTGAATGGGTCCAATTCTACAAGAATTTGTTTCCGTTGGCCTTAGGTTAATGCAGAATTTGGTTTAGGAAAGTGCTGCAACCACAAACAGGAGGTGAACTGCAAGATTCTGTGATCCATGGGTTTTGTGCTATTTTCAGCCTGTCCGCAGGGAATGCTAACAATAGTTTCTGCAGCTCTTCTAAAGTGTAGCTAGTTCCCCGCACAGTAGCGATTCTTTGCCCTTTTTTGTTCACCTTTTGTAAGATTCCGTCTGGATCCAAACAGGGGTTTGTTGCTAAAATTGTTCTGCTGTAACTGTAAAATATTGAAGAGATTGCATATTTTTGCACTTCCCTGTTTAGTCTGATGAGAGCACTATCAAGCTTATCCTTGCAAAGCACTGAACTACCAAGCAAATTCCCAACTGTCCTCGTTGCCCTCTTTAAACCTGAGAATGGAAAATTAGCTTGTCTAAGGAATTAGAATTGTAAGTAGAGCGTTATGCTGTGGTCTGTAGTCTATAACCCAGTTAAAAAAAAAAAAATTTACATTGTAAGTGGCAAATGGATGCCCGTTTTGATAGAGAATGTTAGGCTGTAAAATTAATAAGAAATTTATTAGGAAATGGGTCATTTTTAGAACAGTAGTTCTGATACTTTTGCAGGAAATTTCCTGCTGAGAATTTTTTTGGTAGGGATTTCAGATGACATTGTGCAACTTAGCATTGAGAGACAAGGCCTGCTACCCTTAGGCAAAGCAGAAAGCCCCGACTGAAGTTTTGCTCTAAGCATGAACTTGCAAGTTTGGGTCAAAGTTGCTTAACTCTAGGCTGAAAGTTAGCAACTAATTGTGATAGAATGATTAATTGTGCTAGAATATGATACATGTGCAGTGATGGTTAGGACAGTTAACATTGGTATATTCTTACCAATGAATATATACAGGAGTTTTAATGCATTATTATGAGAAGGCTAATTATGTATTGCAGAGATTTAATCGCCAAGATAACCTGCATATTTATAATATGAAGTGGCTTAAGCGGATGAATAGTATAAAAGTTGTTGGGCATAATGTCACAGTACTCACCTGCTTGAAATAGTCTTAAAACTATATTATAAAACCAACCATTGTGGTCTTGTTCACCTCTGTGCAAGATAAATTCAGATTTCACTGATGTTTGGAGCTGTTCACAACTTGTCTGGATTGTATCTTGAGTGTTCTTGTGTCTTCAACCATGTCAAATAAAATACAGTAAAACTAACTTTTCTTTTGGGGTGTTTCTGTTTTGATGAAAATGGATATGAAAGACCAAGTGGTTATACTTACATTTGGATACTCTTTCATATGCATAACTGAGCAAAAGTGCCACCAACCGCTTGTGTTGCATGTCAGGTCCCTTCAACCTTCCAGATGTGTGGACACCAAGAGCCCATGCAGGCCTGAGGTTGCAGTCACTGCTGGTGATTACTCAAAATGCACTGCAGTTTGTGTAGCTGTGAATAGGGTTTCTAGGAGTTAAGACAGCAAGATTTTAGACAACATCAAAAGCAGTTTAGGTCTTTTCTGTAATGAGAACGAGAGCTGGGAAATCAAATATGCTCAAGGCTGAAGCCACCATTCTTGGCATTTCTTTCATGACATTCTCTATAAAACTCATAGAGCTTCTTGATGATAACTAGAAAAACATAATAGTGTAGAAAATGTAAACCAAAACCCACCATGGGACTGTGGAGGTTCCCTGATTACGACCAATGGAGATGAGCATGAAGGAATGCTGAGTAGAGGGTGAAAATCTGGATCGTGTTCACACCCAGGGAAAAGGCAAATTTCCAGAAGTAAGGTTGAATAGTTTAGATTTTTATTACAGGACAGACTTAAAATATTTTCATGAAGTATTGCCTGTGAAAGGATGGGAAATACCTCTGAAATGATAAACAGATATTGTTAGATGACGCCAGTACATAGGTTTCTCTTCCAAACCTTTAGGTTGCCACCAGCACTGAAGTATCACTGCAGCTCTTGGGCATTTGCACCTGGACCTGGAGGGGGAGATGAGCCCATGCTTTCTCCAGGAAGGCCATCACCAAGGAGGAGACAGCCGTGCTGTTCCAGCTCAGCCCTGGCTCCTGCCCTCAGCCATGCCAGTACCCCAGCCCAGCCGTGCTGTTGGCCTGCCACACCATGCGTGCCCACAGGCTTGGATGCCTGCAGTCGGTGGCCACCAGGTTGTAGCAGAGCCCTGTGGTGCTTACATTACACCCTTTCTGCTTTGTTGTGCATCTGACCTGTGACACAAGGTACTCTTCAAACCAGGTAATGTGGTAGAAGCAGGGCTGGGCTTCTCCCACCCCTTCTCCTTCAGAGCTGGGACTTTGCTCCAGGTACTGGTCTGATGCTCCCAGCCCTTTGTGGGAAATCAACGGCTCTCCTGAAAGCGTGAGAGTTCAGTTCCCTTTTCTTCCTTGTTCTAATACTTTAACGGCAGGTTTGACATAGTGACTTATCATCTCCCTACAGAATAAAACCTTTTCTGCTCTCTATCTTCAAGGTCCTTTATTTCACTTGTTATCCTGATGGCCTCACTCCTTATGTTATAATTATATATTCCACAGTGATCTCCTGGGTGTGGGTGTGGATTTAGTTCCCAAACACCATTGCCCTCTAAGATCATATTTAGCCATTTCTATCTTTTCAACCAGAAGCAGCATCTGACTCTGCAAATTGTTTTTGTTCATTTCTTTAGATTACTGTTCTGTTGTTTCTGTGATTTATTTTTTCCTTATTGTAATCTATTGGGTGAAAGGATTTTTGCACCACATTAGAGCTGATTACTGTTCTGGCTCCAGACACCTTATAATCCAGAATGTGTTCAAGGTAGTTGTCTGCCAGTCACCCATCAATTATTAAGAAAACAGATTCAGTTGCAGTGAGTACCATTTAAGTTTTCATATGAGCATTGATGCAGGAATGCTTGCTTGGAGGGAAGAGTGAAAATACCGCCTGGATAGAGACTGTTATTTCTAGATATGCTATCTAATGACAAATGTTACTCAGTTCCAGTGTTAATTAAAACAAATAGTTACAACCGAAGCATGACTAATAAAAGCAACTGCTACTAGCTCTGGTAGCACAGCCAGTACACACCCTTTCAGAGTGGAACATTTCCCTATATGTCACATATACAATGTATATATAAATATATATATATATAAACAGTGTATACATATATATATTTATTTTTTTTCTTTCAGCTAAGATGTTACTAAAGACATGCCAAAAATCCTGTGATATGTGGATACACAAGTACACAATATATTTGGTCCTATTTTCTCTCATTAATATAGCAGAACTCGTCATCATTGAGTCCCTGTGCTCAGGAAACTCCCTTGGTGAACTGGGCTATGTTTGCAGCTTTATAACAGGCAGTGTCCTATGCAGGCACCTCCACTTTACATGAGGGACCAAGGATATCAGTATGGGTTACAGTACTCCAATCCATGTTTGTGCCATGCAGGGATGCTGAGCCAAAATGGTAGCTTTGTATTTCCATATTTTTTCTGCTCCATAGTCATTCAGGTTGAGGATACTGCTTGGAACTGAGGAGCAGCTGCCATTTAGTCTGGCAGAATACAGGATTTTGGACTGTATTTCACTAGCATATTATAGAATCTGACTGAAGGCTGAACTGTAATGTGACATTTTGTGGTGAACCGGTAATGAAAATAAATGGTATACTTGGTAAATGGTAAATACTTGGTACGAGTCTGCTTTAACAGTTGGTTAAAAATAAATGCATAAAAGTTGATTGTTCCCCAGAGAGTCATAAAAACAGACATATCATAAAGGACTGTAGTCCCTTAGCCTTATCAAAGTCTGGTTTATTGTTAATATTATAGTATCAGGGCAATAAACTTGCCAATAATCAGGTGTATTTGCATGAATGTGTATGTTCATTGTATGTTTCTAGATCTAGTAATGTTTAGTAAGGTCCTGCTGCACTGAAAAACTTGTATGATAGCTTGTGTGATATATTTTTTCTGCTAAATGTTGCAGGCCGTGTGTCTAAAATTTGGGAATGTTGGCAGTAGCTATGGAGACAAGTCAGCGGTGTGTGTGACCTTGCACTAAAATACTACTCAAAGGTGCAAAGATGCAGGGAATGAGCTGAGATGTGTAGCAGCCACTACACCCCAACTTCCACCTATTTGCTGCAATGAAGATGTTTTACAAGTGCTCTATGACTATAATTATAAACACCATCCTAATAGGCTAGGTACTGTATTTAACTTGTAATGAACTTGATTTCAGCTAAACATTCAATTAATGTTACTAGTACAATGGGAAATATAATTACAGTCTTCAGGGACACATTAAGAACCAAATCTTGCTTTCAGTGTTCGAGCACATTGCTCTGATTTCCAGGGGAGGTTCATGTGTGTGCATTCACTGGTAGAATTTGGGCCTTTCACTGGACTTTTCCAAATCTGAAGGTTTTCTCATGTGAGAGTGTTTCTATTTAAAATTACAGCCCCATCTTGATAGGAAGGAATTTGTATAAATCCTACATTGGTTCTTCCATGGCTACAGAAATCCTTACTGAAATGTACAGAGTTTTCACGCCTTCTGCTAATAACCACGGAATAAAACAACTTATAAAACAATCTCCCTGACAGCAGAGTCTAACTTCTCCAAAGGGATTATCCCCTTTCAGTTTCCTAAATAGCTCCCTTACAAATCATCCAAACATCTCTCTCCAGTAGAACTGATTTGGAGTCCCTTTAGTCAGTGCAAAGAGATGCCTGATTTTCAAGAGGTGCAGCTTGGATAAATTGACAACTACGGATGCTTTGCATAACTGTTTTTCAGTCCTGCCATTTGCCAGTCTCATTAGGTACTGATGTTGGATGCCAGCTTTAAAAATCAAGTCTGTATTTGAGATTTTTCTTGTACAGCTCCTTGGGTCTCAATTTTGTGTTCTTGGTTTACAAACAAATCATTGAAGGGAAACCTTGAAGTCTAAATTTCCAGAGCATACACATTTAATCTTTTTTGAATTTTACTGCACGTTAAACATATAAACAAACATTAAACATTATCTCTAATTCTCCAGAACGTTAAATTGCACGTCTAATAGTAAAGATAGTACTACTAGTAAATTGCATCATTTTTATTACAAGGGAGTTTACCTCCTGCCTTTACAACAGATTTCGCTGCAACCTTAACTATTGGCTAATGAGGAACACCCGATGTCCCTTGTGTTTTAATTAATCATACATTGTAATTCTTCTATGGCTTTCCTCCTTGGACTCCTACAGAATTTGAGACCTCATTTTCTCTGTTCAAATTTCATTCTTTTCAAACATTTTTTCAGATCCCTCTATCAAAATAAGTTCAGACCAATGAATATCTTATCTTGGGAAGATAATCCAAATAGAAAAATACCTTGACCCTTAAATGCATCAAGTCAAGCTGAACTGCAATCCACGCTTTTGTTTCTTCCTCCATATTAACACAAGGTTGTCTTGCATTGGCATTTTTCCTTGCACTTCAGTCTTACAAAGGATGCCCCAGAAACCTATTCTAGCTTGATAACCTTTTACTACTATAAAATATTCCTTAGATAAAGCTCCTAACTTTGTCACTTTTCTTCCTAGATTGCTTCATGCAGCCCTTACCAGCAGCTACCACTGGTGTCTGAACAGAGCATCTATTTTAACAGCACGCAGCATACAAGCTGGCAGTCTGGAACAGGACGTCACCTGTGTCCTGTTGAAACTGCTGTTTGGCAGCCAGGAGGCAGTTTCCTGTGTAAGAATTTTGACAGTGCAGTGGAAATGACATGAACACTTACGTGAGGGAGCCTTTTCACTGTTTAGGGACTGCTTCAGATCTCATTAAATTCAATAGAAAGGTTTGTACTGACTTCAGGGGAGCGTTGAGTCTAGCCCACCCTGGCTGTTAGCCAAGCCCTCAAATCCTTTGTAGTCAGAGAGATACATATTCAAAAGTAAATATATTTTGAGGAGCTAGCTGAATAGAAAAAAAAAAAGTAAGATTATATCAGCATCAACAAGATGTATATCAAAAGCAACTGAACACAGACCTCAGTGATATAAAAGGACTAAGTGCTGTGTATGAAGAGTCAATTAACCACAAATATTTTTTTTGTGAGCCAGGAAATTCTGTCTTCTTTGTTTAATATGTAACTGCAGGTGCTGGCTATGATTGAAGTAGCATCTATTTTCTGTTTTCTCATTTTTT